TGCCTTTTTGTTTTTATTTTGTGTTGTGGGTTTTTTTGGTTGGTTGGTTTTTGGTTTTTGGTTTGTTTTTTTTTTTCCAGACAGAGTCTCCCTGTAGCCCCAGCTGACCTTGAACTCACTATTAGACCAGGCTGGCCTTGATCTCACAGAGGTTTCCCTGCCTCTGCCTCCCAGAGGGCTGGGATTTCGCCCAACTTCCTTTTGGTTTTAAATGGATAGAGTTAGAATGTTGGTGGGTAGTCTGCATATTTTGGAACATGTAGGGAAAATGGCATGTTTAAATCCTCATTAAATTTCAGTACTAAAGAACTGTCAATGATTTGATATTTCATTTGTACCAGGTACTATGCTAAGAGTTTTATTTATATGTGTCATCTAACTGTTAAAACCTGTATCATTCATGTGTTGCTGTGTTGCATTTATCCCAAAATTTGGTGACTTAATACATTTTTTAGATGTCAGGAATTGTGAAGCAGCAGAGCACAGTGGTTCTGACTATGATCTCTAGGGTTTCAGCTAAGATGTCGGCACAGAGGAGATGCCAAACACTTGTTGAAAGAGTGACAGAGAATCTACTTCTGCTTTATCTGACATCTGTGGTGTCGTCATAGAAGAAATTTCAGATTTCTCCCTTGTTTCTCCCTTTGAATAATTTAAGTAGTATTGATTATAGATCTTTAAATATCTCATAAAATTCTGCTGTAATCCATCTGGGCCTGGACATTTTTTATTTGGGAGGTTTTGTATTACTGTTTCAATTTCCTTATATGTTATGGGTCTGTTTAAACTTCCCTCTTCTTGGTTTAGCTTTGATGAGTCCCATGATTTTAGATACCCATCCATTTCTTTTAGGTTTTCAAATTTAATATAGGTTTTTGGTTTGGGTGGGGGGTTGTTTTGTTTTGTTTCATTTTTTGGTCTTTTTGAGACAGGGTCTCCCTGTAGCCCCAGCTGTCCTGAAACTCACTATGTAGACCAGGCTGGCCTTGAACTCACAGAGATCCGCCTGCCTCTGCCTCCCAAGTGCTGGGACTACAGGTGTGCACCACCACACCCGGCTTAATATAGGTTTTTAAAGTATTCTCTTATCATGTTCTGGATCTTTTGGGTATCTGTTGTGATATTTCCCCTTTCATTTCTGATTTTGGTGATTTGGATTTGCTTTCTTTTGATTAACTGAGCTAAGAGTCTGTCTATCTTATTTAGCTTTTCAAAGAAACAGCTCTTAGATTCATTGATTCTTTGTGTTGTTTTCTTTGTTTCTATTTCATTAATTTCTGCTCTAATTTTTTTTAATTTCATCTTGTCTGCTGGGTTTGGGTTTCATTTGTTCTTGCTTTTCCAGAGCCTTGAGTTGTAATGTTAAGTCATTTATTTGTGCTCTTTCTGATTTTTTAATGTAGGCACTTTAGAACTATAAACTTACCTCTTAGCTGCATTCAGAGTGTCCCAGTGGTTTTGTTGTGTTGTGTTATCCTTTTTGTTTAGTTCCAAGAATACTTTTATTTCTTTTTTAATTTCTTCTTTGAACCATTCATCATTCAAGAGTATGTTGTTTAATCTCCATGAGTTCATGTAATTACTAGGGCTTCTTTTGGTGTTGATTTTAAATTATTGTGTTGTGATCTCATAGAATGCATAGAATTATTTCAGGTTTTTTGTATTTGTTGAGGTTTGTTTTGTGCCCCAGTATGTGGTCAATTTTAGAGAAAGTTCCATGGGGTGCTAAATACAAAGTGTATTCTTTGGTGTTTGGATGGAATATTTGGTAGAAATCTGTTAGGCCCGTTTGTTGTATGGTATCATTTAATTCAGATGTCTCTCTGTTTATTCTTTTTTCCAGTTGATCTGTCTAATAGAGACAGTGGAGTACTGAAATCCCCTACTATTACTGAGTCGTGGTTAATCTGTGTCTTAAAGTCCTATAGTACTGTTTTTATGAAATTGGATGCACTAGAGTTTGGTGCATATATGTTCATGATGTGACTGTCTTTATCTCTTCTGATTAATTTTAGTTTGAAGTCTATTTTGTCAGATATTAGAATTGCAGCTCCTGCTTGTTTCTTAGTGTCATTTGCTTGGAATATTCTTTTCCATCTTTTCACTTTAAAGTAATAAAGGTGAGATGGGTTTCTTGAAGACAATAAAAGGATGAATTTTGTTTCTAATCCATTCAACTAGCCTGTGTCTTTTGACTGGGGAGTTCAGTCCATTAATACTTAAAGTTATTTTTGGAAGATTTGTATTGGTTGCCATCATTTTGATTTCTTTTTGCATTCTTGGTCTAATTTTGTGTTTCTACAGTTGTATCTTCGTTTAGTTTCTTTTGCCACTTCAATATACTTGTTCCTTTTTTCCATTCTTTGTATTGCTTCAAGTATTCTCTGAAGGGCTAGCTTTGTGGACATGTATTCTTTCAGCCTATTTGTGTTATGGAAGATTTTTCTTTCCCCTTCAACTATAATAGACATTTTTGCTGGATAAAGTATTCTGGGTTGGCACCTATGGTCATTTAGAACTGGAAATACTTTGGTCCAGGCTCTTCTGACTTTTCATAGTTTGCATTAGTAAGTCAGCTGTAATTCTTATGGGTTTTCCTTTATATGTGACTTGCTCTTCTTTTGCAGATTTCAGTATTCTCTTTGTTCTGTGCATTTGGTGGTTTTATTATGATATGCGGTAGGGAGTTTCTTTTCTGGTCCTGTCTGTTTGGTGTTCTGTGTGCTTTTTGTAGTTGTATGGGCTTGTCTTTCCTTAATTTGGGGGAATTTTCTTCTACAGTGCTGTGTAAGATCTGATCAATACCATTAACCTGAAATTCTTCTCTTTCCTCTATACCTATGATGCATAAATTTGGACTTTTCATGGTGTCCGACATTTCCTGCACATTCCATTCCTGTGGTTTTTTTCATTTTTTTATAATCTTTGTTCAGCAGTCCAATTCTTCAACTTTACCATTCAGTCTTGATATTCTGGTTTCCATTTCATTCATTCTCTTGGCTTATTGAGTTTTTTACTTCCTTCTTCATTTAAGCCTGAGTTTTCTTCAGTGTTTCTCTCTTTTGTGAATTCAGTCGAAAGTTTATCCCTACTTTTAGTTCTTTGATTTATTTGTTTATGTGTTTTTTAAATTTGTTGAATTCTTTGGTCATGTTTATGATTGTTCTTTTAAATTCTGTGTCCTGGGTTATCTCTAGGGGGTTCTAATTATAGAACTTTTTTTTTAGAACTAGTAATGTTTGGTTTTCTTTGTTACTATTTTTTCCTTTGTGATTTTGGCATGTCAATTTCTTCTGTTGTTTGTGATTCTGGTATGAAACTCAAGCCTTCCTGCTTCTGTTTGTATTATTGGTGTGCCTTGTTTTGGGGGGTTTTTGGGGGGGGCGGGTATGTAAAGCTGGTTGGTCTAGGCTTTAGGTCCTTTCATTTGATTTTTATAATGGAGGGAACAGCTGGCTTCAGTCCAACTACTTAGGAACTCCTGCAAAGGCCCAAGTCAGGTGCCAATCAGGTACTGTCAGGCTTCCTCTTAAGGTCTGGGCCCCTACTAGGGAGCAATCACAGCTGAATTTGGGAAGCTGGCTAAGGGGAGGCCTAAAGGTCTTTTAGGCAGTCTGCAAAGGTCTGGGCCCCTACTGAAAAGCAGAGAAGCCTAGCCCTGGGAGAGTAAGAGGGGCCACATGTGATCCCAATGTAGGGGGATGGGCACACCACAGTGGAAGCCAGATCCAGGTACTCTCAGGCAGTCTGCAAAGATCTGGACCCCTACCAAAGAGCAGAGAAGCCTAACCCTGGAGCAATGGGAGGGGCCACATGTGGTCCCAATGTAGTGGGATGAGCATGGTGCTCATTTGGGAAGCTTACCACCAGGTGGAGGCAGGAGCCAGGCAATCCCAGGCAGTCTCCAAATTCAATTTCTGGCAGACCTACATTCTTTTATTATTTTTTAAATATATGTATATATGTGTGTGAGAGCATGGGTTTGTACACATATGTGAGCACAGTGCCCATGGAAGCCAGAAAAGGGGGTTGGATCTTCTGAAGCTTAAGTTATAGGTGGTTGTGAACCTCCTGGTGTGGGTGCTAGGAACTGAACTTGGGTCCTCTGCAAGAGAAGTATGTGCTTTTAACCACTGAGCCATCTTTCCAGCCCCAGTAGACCTGTATTCTCGTCTAGAATTTGGAATAGAAACCCAGTCTGATACCAAGACTTTTCGAAGAATGTTTTGAGCTACACTGGAAGACTTGTTAGAATATGATCTCTGTAGCCTGAAAGTGAATGTTATACAGGTTCCCTCAGTCCTCGTTCAAGATAAAAGTCTAGCTATTGAGAATCCTACCCCTAAGTCACAGAAAGGAAGCCACATTTTATTTTGATTCAATACCTGTTTTAATACATTCATTGCATTCTTCAGTGAATCAGTGGGTATTTATTGAGCTCCTTCAGGGTACAAAGTAATACTTTGGTTGAGCTATTGAGTTTGAAATATTAATCACATTATTAAACCAAAACGAAATCCCTGAGTAGTTGAAAGTTCTGTTCAAGTTGTGAGGCTACAGTTCCTATAGACTGTATTTTTGTGATGATGGGCTTTTACTTTATAATATATGTTCCCTCTTGGACAGGAACAAAAGTTCAGTTAAATAACTAAGGTGTTATATTTTACCAAAGTGAAGTCTTGAAGTGGTTCTTGATCATCAGCTTTTTTCCTGTTCAACTGTTGAAGGATTGTGTGGTAATCACTTCATCTTTTGAGTAATTTAAGAATTTTGTACCTTGTAGTTCCCAAGACTAGGGTAAAGAATAATACTTGTCTTTCCCTCTGTGGCACTACCTTAAACTAGACAGGGAAAGAAAGCTTCCTACATCTCAACTCTGTCCAAAGTACCATCCAAACTCCTGTGAGTTGACAGGGTACCTTGACATCATCAACATAGAGTTGGTGAAGGAAATATGTGCTCTACAAATTCTGTTTTCATTGTTTACTAATCTTTTCCAGATTTCTCTGTTGACTTCTGCAGTAAACCACCTCAAAGCCAATGTTAAGTCAGCTGCAGACTTAATTAGCCTGCCTACCACTGTAGAGGGACTTCAGAAAGTAAGTAAACACTGAGATTAACTAACTGCTGCAATTCTGGCTTCTTATAAGTTCTCTTTGAAAGCCTAGCATTTGAAATCAGCTGCTCCAACAGGGCAATAGTAAAGTATACCATTCTTTTCTAAGGAATTCAAAACAACTTTATTAGTTGGGCCTTTAATTTGCAACAGGTTACTTTAACTATCGTTCTTTGGCTTTTCATTTGTCTCTCTAAATTACAAAATTGCTCTGCTGGGGCTATTACGTTAGCGTATGTGGGTTTACTTATCAGTTTGTCATTTACAATGTCTTCATGAAAGCAAACCAATACATGAGAGTTGCCCTAAACTTCTGCTGTTTTGATTCTTTGAAAAAGAGCTGGAATATTTGTTTTTCAAGATGATCTAAAGGAAATACAACAGTGTAAATAAATGCAGAGTGTGTAAATAAAGGGTGCTTTGAAGCATTTTGACTGGAAGTATAAACTTTTTAAAAGTACTTTGGAAACAATTTCATACTACCTTTTTTTTAAAAAAATACATTATGTGTAGCAATACAGTTTACATATTAAATAACACTATAATAGAATAATTTGATGTCATTTTAAACAGAAGAAAAAAGGGAATTTTTTAGATTACAGAACTTCCCCCCAGAACAAACTTGGAAAAAAAAAAAAAGTCACTTTTTCTGAGTCAGTGTGAATAAATGTATTCAGTGACTAGTTGTGTCTAATTGCACTAATGGACAATAGAGTTAAATAAGCAAGCCTGACTTTCACAATCATAAAGGAGTAACACATGTTGGTGTTACTTCTAAAGGTATGTCCTCTAAACAGTTCACTTATAAGCAGCATACCCTACAACCTATGCAAACATTAGTTCAGAATTTGTTTACTTGATCCCTGGTATGTAGACAAGCCACATGGATGATATTCAGGAATAGTTAGAGCTGGATGGGGAGAGCAGATAGAGAATGAGAAGGAAAACAAGGTGTCTGATTGTGAACACAAGGAGCTTGATCACTGCAACAGGCAATGAAAGAAAGGATTTGATTCAGGAATAAGACCCCCCTCACACGGTGTATATTATATCTAGGATCCTTGGCTTTTAAAAGTTAGTATGTGATACTTGATTTGATTGTATGTCATGCTCTACCTGTAAACATCTATGTTGCTATACAGAGTGAGAAAGTCTATAAAGAAGAATAAAACTTAATTTTTTTTGTTCATCTTGTTGAGACAGGGTCTCCCTGTAGCCCGAGCTGTCCTAGAACTCACTATGTAGACCAGGCTGGCCTTGAACTTACAGAGATCCACCTGTTTCTGCCTCCCAAGTACTGGGATTAAAGGCGTGTGCCACCACGCCCGGCACAAAACTTAATATTTTATAACCACAATGTTATGTACTCAGTCCATATAGTTTGCTACTTGTCCAATATGGTCATCTGCTTTCAGCATTTAAATTTAAAAGATTGGGACAAAGTTAATGAGGCCAGATTCTTGCCATTGTTCCCAAGGGTCAAATAGGAAAGTGGTAGGCCTCTGTAGCCTTTAGTGCAGAAGCATCTTTGGCAGTCTTGCATTAGAAAAGGAACTGACTTGTTCTTGCTCTCATTAATTCAATAAACATTTGTGGAGCTTCCTCCAGTGTGTACCAGGCACTTTGCAGTGGTGGGACTACTAGCTTTAGAGTTTCATTTCCAGGATTTACATAGTCTGTCAGCTGCTTCCCTAAAAAAAAAAAAAAATCCCTAAACAAGAGCTTACTATATTCCTGTGTCCAGCCAGTGAGGATTCTGTAACAGTAGGTGTCTTTGAATGCCTATGGCTTTTGCGACAACAGAGCTTACATAGCATACCAACTTAAAGACTTCTACCCCAAATGTTCTCTTTTTACAAATCCTGACAATAATGCTAGTCACTGCTTTTGTTGCATACAACTCAGTTTTGAAGTAAGTCACCCAAATACCTAGCTTTAATTTATATCATGTAATTTTTTTGGAGGGAAGAGATAAATCAATTTTATTGTCCATCATTATATTATACAAAAATTTACAAATAATACGTTTGTACAGGAAAAGAACCAAATGAATGGTAAATAAGAGCTTAACAGCAATAATTTGAACTTGCTTTTTTCCCCATGATATTAGGATGACAACCATTTCAAAACACATGCCTGATGTCAGGGTAACTTTTGTTCACTGGCCAAAGTTCACCCTTAAAATTAAGACCTTCAAGTGTTTCTGACACGTCTACTGGCTCTTGACAAAACTTTTGCGATCTTAAAAAAAGGCAATATATTCTTGGTGTTCCAGGGCTATATTGAGCTCCACCAGCTAATCTGCAAAAGTGTTGTCCACCTCTCGGTCTGCAAGGAGATCCATTAGGTGGTCATAGAAGGCCCAGTCCAGGGAACCCGTATTGAGTGTGTAGTTCATACCCTTCCATTCAGAGTCACCAGTGGCCTGAAAGTTAACTTCCTTGGTAGAGAAAATGTCACTCTCGGCCTCTTCTTCTTGTCCAATCTCATCTTCTGGACATATCATGTAATTTTCATACATATATATATATATATATTTATGTGTGTGTATGCTGAGTGTTATTCCTATGTGTATGCAAGTGCACCCATATTGTACAATGTGCACAGAGGACAGAAGAGGACAATGGATCCCCTGAAACTGAGTTACAGGGTGTTGCTAGCCACAATGTGGGTGTTGGGAATCGAACTCAGGTCCTCTGCAAGAGTAGCCAGTGTCCTTAACCACTATACCATCTCTTCAGCCCCAATTTTCTTTTTCAGTATTGAAAATGCTGTCTCTTTTTCACTTGAATTCCTGTATCTGTGTAATTGAAAAATTGCCTTGGGGACTACCTCAGTTGGTAGCTTGCTTATCTAATATGCACAAAGCCCTAGGTTCAATCTCCATCACCACATAATGATCTAAACCAGAAGTTTAAGGTTAAATTGAAGCCAGCCTGGGCTATATGAGGCCCTGTCTCAAAAAAATAAAGTAATTGGACTGGAGAGATGGCTCAGTGGTTAAGAGCACTGACTGTTCTTGCAGAGGACCCGGGTTCAGCTCTTGCAGAGGACCTGGGTTCAGTTCCCAACTCCCACATGACAGCTAACAGTCATCTGTAACTCCAGTTCCAGGGTATCTGATACCCTCTTCTGACCTCCATGGGCATTTCAGGACACAGGTGTTTTTATATGCATTACAGGCAATACACTCATACACATAAAATAAAAATAATAAAATATTTTTTATTTAGTAAAGTAATAAAAATTAAAAACCTTCATTAAAAATACTAATGTCACACTATAAATTGTCAGCATGTCCTAATAAAGGGACAAAACCCACCAAATAGTAACACTTTTTTGAAGGGATTTTTTAGAAGATGACTTCTGAATCATGTCTTCAGTATACTTGGGTTCTTTAGGGCTAACAAAAACAAAATATAGTAGCAGCCATACCTAACTACTCAGTTGCTGAAAGAATTCAGCTGCCAGGTAGAATGTTTCCTAAGCTCTGCACTGCTGATTTCTTAGAGCCAAAGATGATCCCTACCCAATTTTGCATAAAAGCCATTGCTTGATGCTCCTAGCTGGTGACATTTGAAAGCATTGGCTCTGGCTTCTGCTAACCTTCAGCCGTGTTTGACACAGGTCTTTTGGAGGGCTCATTATCTGCAGATCCCAAATTTTATGAATACCTTTTGCTCTAGGAAAACTTAAATTTAGAAAATAGCTTGATTATATTTTTATTATGTGTATTTTATATATAATATTCATATAAGGAGAAAGTATATATGTTTCTTGTTAATTGTCTCAGTATAAATTGCATGGAATTCATAGTTTGAATATAGTTGAAATAATTAGAAATACTAATCTATAGCCGTGTGTGGTGGCACACACCTTTAATCCCAGCACTCAAGAGGCAGAGGCAGTCGGATTTCTGTGAGTTCAAGACCAGCCTGGTCTACATAGCGAGTTCCAGTCCAGCTGGGGCTACAGGGAGACCCTGTCTCAGCCCACCCCCAAAATTTTTTTAAAATATTGATCTATATTTGACTTGTGTTTAATATAAATTAAAACCACAGTGTGCATTGCTAGAGAGATGGTTCAGTGGTTAAGAATATGTACTGCTCCCACAGAGGGCCCAAGTTTCATTCCCAGCACCAACATGAGGCAGCTCATAACCACTATAACTCCAGCTCCAGGGAAACCTGATGTATCTGGCCTCCGTGGGC